GCCGGCCGCTCCGGCCCCCCGCGCGGTTCGCCAGCACCGCCGGGCAGGGGCCGGAGGCCGAGGGTCCGCAGCGGCGGGTGGTGGTGGTGAGGATCACCAGCCCCTTCGCCTGGCTCCGCACCCGCTTCTATTATCTCCTCATCCGCCTCTACTTCGACCAGGAGTTCAGCATCGAGGAGTTCACCCGGGGGGCCAAGCAGGTGAGCGCCGAGCGGGCGGCGGGGCTCGGTCACCCGCCCGGCCCGGCCCGGCCCGGCCCGGCGCCTCAGGGAGACGAGAAGGGCCTGTCGGCCTGCCTGAGGGGAACGGCGCCCGAGCCGTGCTGCTGTGCCCCGGCCCGCCGGCGGCCCCTCGGGGCGGCCCCGCTGCGGCTCCCGAGGGGGCTGCCGGTGCCCGGGTTTAATTTCCCACGCGGACAGCGTAGCGCCTGTGTTCTCTCGTGTGCACGATAGATGGAGTTCCCCACTTTTGGCTCCAAGCACCTCACTTCTGGGGGAAGTGAGGGTATTCGGAGGTGCGCTTTTTTTCAGACTTCTCTTGTTTTCTTTTCCCAGATTACACAGTCAAAGTGAGCTGGTTTAGCCGACCCCAAAATAGTGTGAAGGAAGTTGCTTCCAGATGTTTTAGAGAATTTAAGGAGACATGCAGCTCCTCTTAGCTGGTTTTCCTAAAATGACAAAGCTTAGGCAGGCATAGAGCTGGTGCAAATATTTGTTTCTCCAAGTATATGAAGCCAGTAAGCTTTGTCAACAGAATGTGTCAAAGAGGCAGTGATCTCAAAGCTAATCATGTAAAAATTACGGAGTTAGCTGCTGTGAAACTTCAGTTGCTGTATTTAATTATAAAAAAAACCAGCTCAGAACAACACACCAGGTGGTAGGGGACAGAATGTTAAAATGCTTAAGATCAAGTCAGGAAAGACAGAAAAAACCTACACTGAATTAGTTGCCATGCATGCAGAACCACCTGTTTTACCTTGTCCTGGGGTTTTTTTGTGTCTTTATACTTGCTATAGAATCCTTCTGTCCGCATTTTACAAGTACGCTATTTGAATATGTAGAGGCATTATTGTATGCAAATTTACCTGCAAAATTGAGGGGAAAAGGGGAGTTGAGTTTCCAGAAGCTTAGAGACTAAACCAGATTTATAAAGAAATTTTATAAACTGGAGCTTCTGTTTCGACTGAAACCAGATGAGCTGGGTAGAGGGGCAGGGGAATAAAATATTTACAGGGAAAGACGTAGACTGTTTGAATTATCAAGAAGAGAGTAAAAACAACTTATGTGCGTTACCGTAATGCTTTTTTTTTTTTTTGTAAGCTGTGCATTCACTTGTCTGTTATCAAAAGGTTTGATGCTTTAAATGAGAGACTGAAAAGAAACCTTATGCTTTTATCAGTTCATGGAATCACTTTTTTAATGCTGGAGGGCTTCCATTTCAATGGTGATACATTCTGCAAACACTGAAATCTTAAATCATGGAGTATTTGGGTATCTTGTCACATAATGATGGATTTGTCTGAAAAATAAGCCAACTTAGTGTTATTTGTTCATGTATTTCTCTCTTCTTTTTTTTTGTTTTGGTAGGCCTTTTCTGTTGTTTCAAAGCTGCTGTCTCAGCGTAAACTTGACCTGCTGGATGAACTTGTATCAGCAGAGGTAAATGCTTTCCATCTTTTATTCCGGCAGTTGATTTTCCATTATGAAGTAACATGCATTCAACCTGTCTTTATCTGCAAATACTGCCAGTTTGGTCTAATTTGGGAAAAACAGCATAACGCAGAACAGGGCAATTATTTGTCCTGCAGCTTTTTTGTGTTTAATTTCAAGGCGTGCAACTTAATTTAAAGTTACTGTATTTAAAAAAAAAAATAAAAAAATTCTTGCCATTGAGCATAAGGACCGATTGCCGAAAAGACTGCAGGTGTACCAGAAAGGACTGAAAGGCAGTGGGTCTGGATGGCAGGCAGAGTTGCATACCTCTGTTGCTGTTGGCAGATAGCTGATACTTTCGGTCTGTGCACCAGAATTCAGATGAAGAAAGGAACTGGTTTGTGCTCATCACCGCTGCACTAATACATTCCCACCCCTAAGCAGATCATACAGCCAATTACTGGTTTCGGCTGGAAGGCCTCAGTCTTGTGTCATGGTCTCAGGGATATGGCTGACCTGGCTAGTTAAATGTCGGTGCTGTGTGTTCTGTGCTTTTATGAATTTTAATTGCTGAAGTTGTCTTGGCCTTCCCAGGGGACGGAGGTAGCAGATGCATCAGTGTCAAGTGGAGGAGATACTTCAGGTCTATGTCTGCCTTGTTACTGGATGTCAGCTTGGCCTGCCCTATTGCCACCCATGCCTTTGCAGCAAAAATTTTGGTCCTGTTCTAGTGCATCCCCACTGGACAATCTTGCTTCCTCTCTCTGAGCAGAGATAGCAGTAAAATGTGAGTTTGTTTCTTATAGTTGTTTTGAAAGAGCATCTCCTCTTCCTCTGCTCATCTTAAATTCTTCAGGTGATCGGATTAACATTGATCCAGAGACCTCATGTAACCAGAGCATGTAGTGGATGAGGCTGTTGTATAACACGATTTTGTTGTTGCTTTGGCTAGTGAATTTTATACCTGCAAAATGTACTAGAAACCAATGTCTTCTAGTGAAGGATTGTCTTTTGCTTCCATGTGACCTCTGGATTTGTTTGTTGTTTAAAAATGGCAATTCAAGTTAGGCTAAAAACTGATTATGAGTCAAAAATAAGTGCTGCACAGCTTCATTCTTCCTTGTGACATGTCTTTCTCATGGTGTTTGAGGTGATGTCTCTGTTCAGTTCATGGACCACATGCTTTTGCTACTTAACATAGCTGTGTAGGTCGTAGGACACTCAAATACTATGGATGTGAATGCATTATGGAACTTAAGTCCCAGAGCAATAATTTTTCAGTCTGTTCTGATTTGCAAGTGTTTCAACTTTTTCTAATGGGAATGTGGATCCCAAAATGGCAGAGATAAACTTAGTGGTAATGGAACAGCTTTTCAAAGAAATTTGTGAAAGATAACTAAGAAATAATTGAATCAAAAGCTAAGGAATATACCCATAGCGAGAAATCATCAGTGAGAAGGCAGAGTGTAAGTATGATTGTGGAAACAAGCTTAACTGGTATTTTCTGGGTTCTCATCCCTTGCTTTGCAACTTCTGTTTTGACAGTACCTTGTCTAAACATTTTTTAAAATACTTGGTTTGCATTGGTTTGAGCAGTAAATGGATCTTCTTTAGTACCACTGAATTAGGGTTTGGGAGTGCCCAGACTTCCCTGTGCTTTTTCACTTCCACTGTTGTATATGTTATACAAGTGTTTTAGCAATATAGCTTATTTTATTAACTGCAGTAGAAAAGATTGTTACTTCAATTTCCTAATGAAAAACTAAGTGACAATTTTCCTGACTTTAGGTACTTCAGGTGCTGAAGCAAAAGATTTCTTTGCTCCCCGACACTCACAGGGATGCTTTAGCAGCTGACATTGATGCAATCATGTATACAACAGAAGGAGATGTTCGCATTTACTATGATGATGATGGTATGTTTATAATTCTAAAACATTTCAGCAATGGGCAGTCTTATTTCCTTGTGTTGCTACTAAGCAGGCATTCTCCTTACAGATGTGTTTTTGAGTACTGTTTCTCATTACTTGTTTTTCTGTTTATAGTTCATCTATATATAATTCCTTGATTTCCTTTTAAACCAGAAACTGAGAGATTATTGTTAATAAGTCATGGTACTGTTTTGACTTCTGTTTAGGTTTTGCTCATTCCTCTTCTTTTGTAATTTCAGATCTTTACATTATTAGTCCTTAGTAATCTCAGACCACTCAAAAGCAATTATTCTACTGTATGCAGAAAGCTGTTTGCTTCAGCAATGAAAATACATCTTCCAAGAAGAATAGTGAAGGCTGGATAATGAAATAAATTTTGCTGTCTTCACTTCTACTCTGTTTTCATGGAATATAATTTGTTCTAGGATTTCTTGGTTTTTGGGGTTTTTTTTTTCTTTTATAAGTTAATGATGGGCTCAAACAAGTTTTTCTTTTGGTTGAATACCAGCATTATGTGCTCAGTTGAGATGGTTTATAGTCTATCCATGGGTCTTCCAATGAGTGTTTCAAATTGTCAGACCCAGTGAGCTTTTTTCCTGTTTTGGGTGATAAGAAGTTTTTTTTTCCTCTTAGATTCCTCCTGAGTTTGAACTACTCTCTATACTTTTGTAGTATCAGTAGCTGGCTTTGGACCTTAAAAAAAGTGATAACCAGCTTTTTTTCGTATGGTTTGATTGTGTACAATGTCATGCAACACTCAGGATAAAATACATACCTTTCTACAGAGTGTATTTTTATTGTTGCTAAACAGCATGAATATGGCTTTAAATAGCTTTATTGTTCATTATTCTATCATGCATTCTTTATGGCTGAAGTCAGCTGCCCTCCCAGGGTCTCACTAGAATATATGCTAGGTAGCAAATAGGAGTATTTGACCAATGAGAAACATGAGATCGACCTTATGCTTTGATTTATTTCCAACAGGAAGAAAGTTTGTTAGCATCCTGATGCGTTTCTGGTATCTGAATGGTGCTAACCTACCTGATGAAGTACCAGGCGAAACCAAAGTTTTCCAGATTGTGTTTGGAGATGAAAGCACAAAAGAAAAAAGACATCTTTTAACAGCAAACTATGAGTAAGTTTGCTTGTCCCTTTTTTTTCCTCCACGTACATGGCCTAGCTGTGTGGAAAGCAGTTTGGGAACTGGAGGCATTCACACTGTGCCAGTGCTGAACTCAGTATGTTTTAATTTACCTTGATTCTAATCTAAGTTAGTTCACATGCAGCTTTCCAGTTTTGGTTCTAGGGCCAAATTTTTTAAATACCCCTTAAAGTCATTATGTTATTACCTTGCTTCTGAGTTGACATTAATGGGAACTTTGTCAGGAAGAGCAATAGTTAGAGCACTGAATGAGGTTTCTGATCCTTTCCTATACTGCTTCTGCAGCTTTTGGGAAATAGGCCAATATCAGTTCTTGTTTCCCATTTCTTGTAGCACAGCTAACAGCAATGCAGTCAAGCCAAGCAGTGAAGTGTGGAGCTGCTGGCTTGTTGCTTCCCACACAAAAGTCAGAACTGCAATTAGCTGAAAAAGTAGCATGTGAAAGAGGAAATTATTTAGCCAAATTCTTTCTACAGAAATGCAGAACAAAGCAAGCATCACTTGGTGTTCAGATAATTCATGCCACTGATCCAATCCCTCAAAGCCCACGTTAGGTAGATGGATTTCCATAGAAATGCTTGTAAATAATGTCTGTGTTTGTGTACTGATGTCAGAGCAGTGCAGAAATATCTGCGCAGTTGGCAAAATGTATGGAAAATAGCATTCTCAGAAGTTGGGAAAAGTGAGGATTTTTGTGTGAGAAATGTAATATAATCAATGACTTCTACACTCATGTTTAAAACGGAGAGACAATGGGGTCTAGTTGATGAGGAGCTCTGAAACAAAGGAAACACCCCGAGGACACTAATGCTTTTTGCCTGGATGGATTTTTGTGGATCTATCCCTTAGGTGAATTCAGCATCTTCCTTAGAGTTGGAGGCTTCTGAGGCTCCATTAACCTCAAGAGCCTCCCCTTAAAGCCCTAAGTATCTTCCTAATCCCCAGCAGAGAGATCTTTGCAAGCGTGTGTTCCTTCTGCAATTTACAGTGCTAACCTAAACTTGAATGGGCAAAGATACTACAGGGCTTGGAAGCCTAATGTTAAGTATTTGGGTGTCTGAAGAAGACAGTTTCCACGAGTGGATTTGCATGTAATTGCAAAGCAGGGAGGTTATACTGCTCTTGTCCACAATGTGCACGTTACTTGGGAGCATGAATATTCAGCTTGAAGTTCAGACTTGTCTTTAGATGACAAGCAGTCAAAACTGACCTGCTCAGGGAGGAAGGGAAGGCATTAATGACTACAAAAGGAAGAGGAAGACTGAAAATAGGGGTGGATGTTTTCATGTCCCTATCAACAGCTGCAGAATTTTCTTTCAGGGAGATTCAGTACTACTGTTAGCTTGGTCTTTGATGTATTTCTGAAAATACATTACTTTTTCAAGTATAGTTCAGTAAAAATGAAAATTTTCAGGTAGAATGCTTAGCATGTGATTTCCCTTTACAACGCAGTTACCATCCCACTAAATGAAGCCCTTTATTTAGAGGTGAAGATCTGCCACAAAGCTATATTCATGGTTACTGCTATGAAAACTGAGTGCTTTCTTGATGTCAGGGTCTTGCTGTTGCTGCTTGATCCTGTCTGTGGGATCTGAACCGAAACACTCTGAAGTCAGTGTACTTTGTTTCTCACTATAGAATTAATTTTGATCTTCCATTTTGGGCATAAGCATCAGAGTCTAAGGAGTTTTTACAGGAATAACTTTGAAGTAAAATATTTCTCCATGATTTCTTGTTGGTATTAGTAGCTCTTTAAGGATCAGGTAAATTGTTAACAACTCTTCACTTACTGCCTTTCCTTTTCCAGGTTCCAAAGGGAATTCACAGAAGGAGCAAAACCAGACTGGACAATTACACGGATTGAACATCCAAGGCTATTAGAATAAATGCTTTCTACAGTCTTTTTATGTACCATTGTAAATGTTCTGATGTAACAAATACCAGGCTTTTTTTGGTCTCTTTTTTCCCCTCCTGCCTTCTCCTCCAAAAGAGGAATGAATTTTGTATGTTCGATTTCCCGAAATTGTTTCTGAAACTTACACTATGCTGCAGCATTACAATAAAGCCTTTTCCCTGGAACAGGCTAGTACAAGTTTAATTGGTACTAATGCTCATCCAAGGCACTTACACAGCATAGTTTCACACGGGCCGGTATTACGGGTATGTTGACTTCTTACATTCTGAGAAGAAATGGTACTACTTGAAGATAAATTCATGGCTGGTGGTCCTTCTGAGTTACTTTCCTGTGTTTCTTTTTTTCCCTAGGGATTGTACAATATATAACTGAATAATATGCAAGATGAAATAGAGGTAGATGGACTTCTTAGATTGTCTAGCCTCAGCAGTTCATTTTGAGGTAATCTTGCTTTTGAATATATTTGAGATTAAGGAAGTTGGAACCACTATCAGTATTTGGTACAGTATTGGAGTAAGAAAAAACTTTTAGCACTGCATTGGGAAAAAGGATCAAAGATTTTTTTTTTTTTTTTTTTTAAAGTAAAACCAACATTCCTTTCAATTCGGTTACATACAGGCAATTCCAAGTTTAGAGGTTTATGAAAGAAAAATCAATCAAAAACATGAATTTAAAAAGGAGACCTGATAGTGAAGCTAAATGAAGTCCTCTGTTTGAAATGCTTGTTGAAGAAGTGAGCAGATTGTTAAAATTAGATGTTGTAACTGAACAATTTCGTGATTCTGAGATTGTTTCTGGAACATGAGAGTCCTGGTGTAAGTACCTTGAGGTTTTTATATGCAGATCAACAGGAGATCATCATAGCAGGTTTTTTTATCCCCATCTCAACTTTAAAGATAAAGCTAACTTTCTACCCAGGCACATTGTAGAGATTCGTGCAGTGTTTTGAAAGTATGAAGTGTAATTACTGTGATTCACAGTAGTTGTGATTGAAAGGTATAAATTACATGTTCTGTAGTTCAGCTCTTTTGATGCAGTGATTTAATGAGAAGAATGTTTAAAGCTTATCAACAAGTTTTTTTATGTCACATCTTGGCAAAATAATTATGGTATTTTTTTTGCCTTAGCAGCAGCATCGTGGCCTTATAATGGAGAATTTGTGATTTGTCCTCTGGACAAAGTTCGGTGATGACAGAGAGCCTTGTCTTCAGGGGAGAAATAAAATTCTGTATTTAAAATTATACATAGCCATTTTGTACACAGTCAATCTGGAAAAGTTTGAGGCAAAGCAGAAAATATTGGAGTGATGAGTAGCATGTCCAGTTTGGCCACTGAATGATGTGCTGCAAGAAGCTGCTATCAGATGTATTTGACATAGTAACAGGAGAAACAAGCAGAACACTAGTGAAGTGTGGAGATGCACTTCTAAAAGGAGTCATTATTATGGAGCAAAAGAAGACAAAAGCCAGTGCAGCCATCTTTACATTCAGGACATCTGCTTTCACATTTAAGTAACAGAGGTCTATCTAGAAATGCTGGTATATCTTAATTTTTAATTTGGGTTACTTTATTAGTATCTTTTTTGGTTTATTTGATATATCAAAACAGGAGTGTCTGTCATGACTCATGAGGGGTTACCCTTTTACTAGCGAGTGCTCCATTTTTTTGAAGCAAAGGCAGAGTAGAAGGTTCTGTATGACTAACAATGAAAATAATTTTTTGTTTTGCTCACTATAAAATTGTGACTTGATAGGAACATGCTCCAAATTGATGATAACACAGTTTTGCTGAAGAAAAAAGATGTCATTGGAAATTTACATGTGCTATTTTGTTCTTTCAAAGTTGTGTTTGTCTTGTGGGTTGGAAGGGGGGACAGCTGTTGGATGTTTGGGTATTTTTCCCCTCTAATCTTAATTTTAAAAATGATCCTGGAGACTACCAGTCTCCATCAGATGCAGAACTGTCCATGGCCTTATTGCACCATAAATAAATTGGAAAGGCACATAAATTACTAAGCTTACTGTACTGGAAAGTGGTTTGCTTCCACAGTGAATAAAACTGGTGTAATTAAAGTGGACTTGGAGACAATATTGGCTTCAGAAAAAAAAACACCAGCCCACCCAAAAAAAAAACAACCACAAAACAACCCCAAACCCAGCTTGGAAGGAATGGGCAAATGTACATCTTGAAGAAGAGAACATTGAAGTTTACAGGAAGCTTTGACTCCTTTTTTCCCTGCCATCCATAAATTATCTGTCATAAATCTGATCATCATAGCAATTAATCAGACTGAAGTGAATGTCACTGAATGGTGTTTGTCATCTTATGGCATCCACATTTTCTCTTGCGGAAATACTTTTCTTCCATGTTGCTTGTTCAAGCAAAACAGGAGCTTCTCGTTTCTGCGTTGGCTGCCGAAACTACCTATCCAAACCTCTGATTATCTAAGATAAGAAATGTATTTAGTGTCTTCAAGCTAGCTCCTAGTGAATATTATTTCTATGTACTATCAAGGTTGTCCCAAATTCTCATGGCAAAAGGATGAGTAAAGGGTTAAGTTTGCTTCATCTTGATCTAAGACAAAGATGGAGGAGAATATTGTCTTGTAAGTTGGGGATTTCCAGTGCTGCCATTCAAACACTTTACTCTTAAAAATCGTAATACTAACTTAAGTGTTACAGAATTTTAAAAAAGAGCTAAAGAAAGTGTTTTATTAGAAACATCTTCATGATTTGGGAGTAATGATGCTGAACAGGGAACAGTAGAATGATGCGGGGATCTCTGTGTCACAGCATGCTAGTGCTCCCAAATTCTCTTGCTGATTTGTCCCAGACATCATCTTAGAAATCACAGTGTGTAAGGATTTGGGTGTGCTTTATTTCCCTTCCACCTCCATGCCTGACTTCCATTTCTGTTGCTTTAAGTCAGGGGGACAAGTACAATTGTAGTTATGGTGTACAGCCTGTAAATCCCCATACATACCCATCTAATATTTGCAGTTTTAGCCTGTAAACGTCTTCATTCAGACCCCAGTAATTCTTGAAAGCAATGTTGCCAGGTTTGATGGTGATTTTTAGGGTAAAATTCATATCTCTATTAGCAACACTGACATTTCTGATTCATATTATGCAGAACAGGGAGGGGACAAGGTATCTGGACTACACTTGAACTGGGGATGGAGATTCAAAGTACCACATTCTTCTCCCCTGGGCAAAATCATGTTTCTTTAGGTTCATGTGGAGTTTGGGAAGCCTTTATTTATTTATTTGTTCATCTAAAAACTGTGGTTATATTTACTAATTATTGACAGCTGCTTGGCACACTTTCACTGCATGTGTCTAAATCTTGACAAGCACTAATTGAATCTGGCCAACATAAAACCCATTAATTTGCACACCCCACTCACCAGTAGATGGCCTTGGTCACAAAGTTATTGTGGCTGGGAAGTGACTGGCATTAATGAGAGTGTAAGAGGAATAAAGAATAAAATGGTAGAGGCATTGATTCTCATTTAAGTGCTATTTAAATCATTTAGACTTGTCTTATTAAAAAGTCTTGATATTCTTACTGGCTTTCATCCTGAGTCAACGATAGCGTCTTGTGTTCTCCCTGCAGTGCTTGCTCATTTTAAAGTGGCAATTTAACAGCATTCTTAATGTGGGAAAGATGAGTTGTACATGTGAATTCACACAGGCACCTTAGTGTCTGACAGTAGCAAACCTTAGTTTTATATTCACATTTTAAAGTATGTTTATCATGTTGATTGTGGTTCCTTTCCCTTCATTCCCAGCATTGTCTGATTAATTAGGGGGCCACGTTCAATTTTCTCCAGTTTTTAAAGCATGTTCAAGCTTGACCTTACCTTCACTTCAGGTTATATTTAATTAATTATTTTCAGGTGTTATGGCTAGAAAGCTGTTTTGTCACAATAATGATCATACTCCTTCAAAACTTCACAAGTCCTGTTTCTCTTCTTAGTTGCGTGGTTGTTGTGGTTTACCCCCAGCCAGCAACTAAGCACCATGCAGCTGCTCACTCGCTCCCCCCCACCCAGTAGAATCAGAAAGAAAAAGGTAAAATTTGTGGGTTGAGATGAGAACAGGTTAATAGAACAGAAAGGAAGAAATTAATAATGCTAATAATAACAATAGTAAAATGACAATAATAATAGTAAAATAACTGGAATGTACAAAACAAGTAATGCACAATGCAATTGCTCACCACTCACGGACTGATGGCCAGTTAGTTCCCAAGCAGTGATTCCCCCCTCAGACCAGCTCCGCTCAGTTTATATACTGGCCATGATGTCACATGGTATGGCATATTCCTTTGGCCACTTTGGGTCAGCTGTCCTGGTTGTGTCCCCTCCCAACTTCTTGTGCCCCTCCAGCCTTCTTGCTGGCTGGGCATGAGAAGCTGAAAAATCCTTGACTTAGTCTAAACACTACTTATCAACAACTGAAAACATCAGTGTGTTATCAACATTCTTCTCGTACTGAACCCAAGACATAACACTATACCAGCTACTAGGAAGAAAATTAACTCTATCCCAGCTGAAACCAGGACAGTGGTTAAACTTGTTTTCTGCCCTATGTGCCTCATTGGCTACAGGTGGGGGGGCCTTTGAGATTCCTTGCAGGCTGTAGTCACATGATGGTTCCCAGCTTCTATGAGATGGAATACAAGTGTGTGTAGTGAGAAGTGTTTTCAGTTTTGTTCCTCTCTCATCTATGGATGTGACAGTTGATCTCTAATCGTTGGACCATGGGCGGGCACAGGAAGAGGTACTCAGCTGTTAAAAAAGCAAGCATTGCCTACACAGCTGTGCTTTTACTCTTCTAAGGGAAAGGCAGCTGGGTGAAATAGAGTTGCACAGTGAGTACTGACCACAGTAAGTCATAGGGATTTCCCTCCTTGTCTTTTACCTTTTTTTTTGTGTTGCTGATGTGCTGTTCTCTTGGGGTTTTTTTACAGTCCTGCCAAATAGGGTGGAGGTTGAGTAAGTCACTGTACATTTGCAGCACTGTTGAAAACGTCTCCTTTGTCACAACTCTGTCTCTTACGTGTATTTTGTCTGAATTCAGTGATGTATGCTTTTCCTAGCGTAAGGTCCTCCTGTTGAAGTTGATGGGGAAACTGTCATGCATTTTAATGGGAGCAGACTGCAACTTTTTTTACTGCCTTTGAAGTTACTCTGGCAGAAATAGAGGTGAGCTATAATTAGATACGCTGTAGTGTCTCTTGTGTGCCATTTCCTCCCTCCTCTGCTGTCACAGAACAAGACTTTTGATAGTGAGCTTCATGCTGTAGTGCTCGC